GCTCTAACACCCTGTGTAAAGAGAAGGCCTTTGCCCAGCAGTGGGACATATGTAGTCCATTATTTTATTTTACTTTACTTTAGTTATCGACTGGTATAGAAATAAGACTTTATGTGGAAGCTTTTGATACGTATGATGTACTTATTAAAAGATGTTTACATGAAACTGCTAAATTTAAAGCTTCTTTATTTTTTCTACGTACTCAAGCTAAGGCTAGCAGGCGAATCCAAAAGAAAACCATCACTTTGTGCTAAATTCCAATAGCATTAAACGCTCGACGTGATCCGATCATTTTGATCCAATAGGATTCTGTACAGGAGCTATACGATTATGACGACCGAGCTGGCCGAATAACACGGTGAGGGAATGACAACAGCCAACTATAAACAAACCAAAAATAAATAGTACTTTAACGCTTTCAGTCAGTAAACGTAGGTAAGAGCTGACCAAGTCGTACAAGAAATACAATAGACAATAGTGTCGGTCTTTGTGGATGTTTTCTCATTGAATATCAAGGACTATGTTAAACTTAATACGACACAACACCTTCAAAAAGGCAACCAAATTGATTACACATAATCAATTTGGTTGCCTTTTTGATAAAAATGATCAAGACCTTGCAATGGAGATATTTATCAATGACATGCTTACAGAAATAATGACACACAGCAATAAAATTCGTAACGCATGCAATACAAGCATACAGACAAACGTGTACCGATCTGTCCCTCTGCTGTCCAATTACGTAATGAGACGCCCAAAGGGCAGTCGCGAATGCACCGCTGAAAATGACATTGCACGAGACCCAGTTATACTTTTTTTAACGCACCTTGCGACACTTGTTCGCGTTAAGCCGTACGAATGTCGGGACATCCAATTAGTGGCTGATTCGTTTGCTTGTATGCTCGGAAGACGGCGGCGCAGTTACGTACCGAAGTGATTTTGTTAATTTTTCATAATTTTTTGAAACATTCCCCTCATTTATTACATCACTTATTAGATCCTGATTTGTAAGTTTTATAAAGATAAATTCCACGTGGACAAACACCCAGATGCAAAATTATCAGTGCTTCGCACAAATAGTTCTCTCGTGTGGGAATCGAACCCACGAGCCACGACGCCGAAGCCAATATCTTGGCAACTGCACCACGGAATCATCGATTGTCAAATATTGTCGGTTATATTCGCAATGTAGTTAAGATGGACTTCATATTTGGACCGGACAAATCATCTGACAGTGGAAAATAAAAGTCCTCGTCTCTGTATATTAACTTTGAAAGAGGAGCTCTGAGAATTTCATTGGTGTCGGCACCGGGATTTGAACTATGGTTGCTTGAGTGTATTGAATTAAAAGCCAACGCCTGGACACTGAGCTATCACGGCTCGTCTTTACTGTGTAGGTAATTATCGTTACGCAATACTTGCGATAAATACACACATTAACATAGTTTAACATCGTTTAATCGGCTAAACATGACTCTACTCAGCAGTTCGTTGACGGTGCTACTTCACGGTACCAAATGACAAACCGCAAGAGAGTGGTCGTCCACAATGCTTTAGATGAGCCAAAGTTAACTAAGAAGTTCTGACATTCACTACCTCCTTGTAAAGACAACGATCAGTGGGGTTCAAGTTTGGAGTGTGGGGCGCGACGCGGGTAAAAACGGCGTCTGGCTGGCGCCTTACCGCGCATCTTCCACCCCCCCCCCCCCCCCCCCCCCCCTGGCTCATCTCCCATTGTCATAACTCAATGTGACGCCCGCGCATCACTTTTACTGCCCAAGGAACGCCGTCCCGGCGGCGTGTTGCTCACGTATGCATGGCAAGTTGCGAGCTCCCATTAAAGGTTTACTGTTGCCCCTAATTGTGTACCTAAACTTTAGTGAACTGTATTTTACTTTAGTGTATTTTTAACAAGTCTCGGATACTTCTTTAAATTATTTCTACCACTCACATCACGATCACTAAACGGCAAAGATTCACATCAGAGTGGATAAAAGAATCAAAACATGAACCATCCTTAATGTCCAATACTATCTGGGAAGGTTTTTATGCTTTAATAGTCTTTTAGTCTATTATTCGTTAGGGGTTTTATTATATTTAATTAATTAGGAGTAAAATATATCTATTCATTAAGCGTTAAATATTGGATTGGTCTGTGACTCGAGCTAGCAATGTCATTTGGATCAGGCAGAGACATTGAAATCAGAAATGATTATATGGAAGATGAACATAAGTTGCCTGTGAAAATATTGAAAAGGTCACGGTCAAGTAAATATGCTTATGGAGGCTGAAACAAACCCGGCACGACACTTACAAACTGAGTCAATAAACGGGGCAAATAGCGAGGCCGGGACTGTGTACTACAAATATTGAACCAAGCACAGGATTCCAACCCACGGCCCTAACGCAGGAAACTGGTTCGGATATTGTCAAAGCACTTCAAGATACAATAGCGCGCTTTAAATTTATAGATGTCGTGCAGTTTCGAGATATAAATGTGAAATGTATTAGTCGATGGAAATTCCTACATTCTATATATTTTCATATACATAATATGTAGCTTACAATACTTGAATAGATGAACAACAAAAAACAAGACGCGCGTGCATTGTTTACTTAAAAATATTTTACAAAACGAGAGCTTTTTCCAAACTGAGCGGCTCGTACTAAAATACTTTTTAAACGTTTTCAACTCACTTCAGGAACATAGCAGACGTATATAAAAGGCGCCTAATAATCACATTGGATTTGTGATTATTAGGCTTAGGCCATTAGCATGTGTCTCCAAAGTACCTTTGCTCGTTTATTTTAAATAAATAGATTTTTACAGAACTTTATCTAGTCCAAAAATAAGCCAAGCCTGTACTATTCGTACTATGTAAGTGATAAACATACAAACATCTTTTTTAAAAATACTTGTTATAGATAAATAAAATCCCTGACACCAAAAAAAAACTACATTAATCACACAATATTTTTCCAGTAGTAGGGATCGAAATCTCACCCTCTGGCGCAAGAGACTGGTCCACTATCCACTACACCGATTGGGTCGTCAATAACAATAGCTTTTTTAAAAAAGAACATCTTATGCGACTTCGCCAAACAGGTTACATCAAAATAACCATATTCTTCAACAGTGCGTTCAAACGGGATAAGTAATGTGACTTACATGCATACGACTTCTACAAATGGTCTACAGACATTTTTGCACGTAATATGATAAGCACAAAACGGGGGGCAGCTTTCAAGTCAATTACTCTTTTTTTTTTTTTTTTTTTTTTCAAATTATATTTTATCTGGATTTACTCGAACCCTTATCATTGTAACATAAATGCATATTGATTTTATTTGAAGTTTAAATTTTTATAGGGCTAATCTCAGCACTTGATGAAACATTAAAAATTGTTAAAAACATTTGCAAACCGGCCGCGGATCGACCAACCGAAAGTCGGAGGCACGAGTGGTGCCGAGAAGAACCTGACACGCTCAGCGTGGTGCTGACAAGTGGCTTCCGTTTCCAACCATCCGGCCAGACGCTCTCACGGTCGAAACTGGGCCGGCCGTTACCACTTCTGCGATGGTCACTTTCGCGGCTAACGAGGCGGACGCTGGACCCGCTCCGACGTGGGATTTCTTGCTCTCCAAATACTCCTTACTTACTTATCACGATATAAATGAATTCGTTCGCTCCCATAAATATAAACATAAATATGAAATTGTAATATATAAGATGTCAGGACACATTTTACACAACGATTTCAAGTCCCAAACTATGCAAAGCTTGTACTATGGTCACTAGATAACTGATAACCATACTTTTCTTTTGTAAATAAATACATATATTAAACATAAAAACACCCCGACACTGAAAAAACACTGTGATCATCACACAATATTTTTGCAGCAGTGGGAATCGAACTCACACCCTCTGCCGCAAGAGTCACTACCCGCAATGCCTACTAGTGATTGGAGTGTACAAGCTTGACTGCGAATGTGGGCTCTCTTATATAAGAGAAACAAAAAGATCAATTAAAACCAGAATAAAATAACACATAGCTGACGTGAAGCACCGACGGTTGAAGAAGTCTGCAGTTGGTGATCATATTTTAGACCGCCCCAACCACTACATTAGATTTGATCAACCGAAAATCCTCGCAAAAGAACACCGATTCCTCCCAAGGATGATCCGCGAGGCTATTGAAATAAAGAAACATCCTAATTTCAATAGAGAAGATGGTTGGAGTTTATCATCTGCATGGGATCCCATAATTTATAAAATTAAATCCAAGCACACCAACACTGCCAGACCTCAAGATACCATAAGCTCCTTCTGCGTGGATCGGAATAAAAATAAACAAAATAACTGACGGTAGCCGGGGTTAACTATGACATCAAGACATATAACAACTTAGTCCGTCCCGTGACCATGAACGCTGGAAAGGGTTCGAAACGTCGGGAGTTCAAAACAAAATAAAAAACGCGATAAAATCCGTGAACTAGTTTCATTTAATAAATCACAATACATTAATAGTGTACTAGATGTATAAGGATATAAAAAAACGCGAACCGAAGCATTAATTAGTTATAATTGCCGGTACCTAATAATAACAGGCATCTGTCTCGATGCATTTTCGTAGCCGCCGGCCCATTGTCATAACTGAGACGCGCGAATCGCGACCCACTCGGCGACATTGCTGCCATACCGGTAGCTGGCTCCACCAATTACGGGCATTCGTAGCGACCGTGAGACTTCATAAAACGTGACAAAGGAACGATCAAAACGACCATTTTTACTGTTGTTTAGTCCTTTGAGATTCTGCGGCTTTCAGCAGTTACTGTTTGTGTGCGAGAGCCTCAAGTAACCAGATTTTTTGTAACTTTACGTTTCCTCAGAAGAGTGAGGTAAGCGAAGAGCCGATGGCCCTTGTTTCTAAGTATATATGGGTACTAAGGCAGCATGAGTAACAGCGATAGGTGCGTGGAAAACCCCATGTTGAATGAAAACAAGCGGCGGAGTGCCGACGACCAGTTGGCGGTTGCGAGAAAAGGCGCGTAACAAAAACAAAGAGTCGAAGAATGCAATAACGACGGAGCGATCATTACTAATGGTGCGACTCATTGTTGATAAAAATTCTAGGTGATGGCGCGACGGTGTTGAACGCGCCGTTGTAGCGAGGACGTGTTCTAGGAATCTAAGCGACGTGTTTTCCTTTCGCGATTGAATTGCCGTACTCTTTATAATTATTTTTTATACGAGACGGTGGCAAGCTAGCTGACGGTTGATGATCCAGATGCTTAACATCTAACCGGATTACCGCGGCCCATGGACATTGCAACACCCGTTAGGTTGCAGATGCGTTGCCATCTTTTTATAAAGTGGTCCGCGGTTAACGCACACACCACTTCCGATTCACGCCAGTCCTTTGTGAGGTCGTGGTACTTCCCCTACGAAACAGCCTATTCAAAGTGCCCTTGCAACAGCGTAGATTGTTGCGTGGCCGTACCAGACATCCTGGTGATGAAGCTAATTGGTAAGGGGAACGGACAACATCAAGCAACAGTGTTGGCATAGTTTGGGCAACAGGCTTCATCCCACCCTTAATGAGTGGTAGTCAGCAGTCTGTTCAATGTCATTTCTGAATTGCAATGTGAGTCGTACAGTGGTAAATATTTTTTTACTATCTAAAACTGTCACATCTATACCCCAGCGAGCCAGATGACTTTAATATCAATAATTTGACCTCGCTGTCTAATATCAGGTTAAAAACTCGCATATATTGAAACATATATAAAATTTGAACAATCGACAGTATACACCTACTACAAAGAATATTTGCACATATTAAGTTATAGTTATATGTCATAAGTTTCCGGAATTTATCGCGTTTCGATTATGATTATTAATTCCCGATTAGCTAGATTAGATTTTCGATTCAGCGTTAAAGGTCACGGGAGAAACCATGAACGCTGGAAAGGGTTCGAAGCGTCGCGGATTCAAAATTAAAACGCGATAAAATCCATTAGCCAATTCCATAAGTCTACACAACCGAAGACGAATGTGGAGGCCGCGATGAGAAAAACCTCCTTCGTCCACAGTCCGAATATTTAAACGGCACCGTCTGTGGCGTCCTTCGGGACGTCGGAGGGGGATCAGACCGGTCTCGGTTTTATCGATGGCGAGGCGCGATAGGGTGCGGCGCCCGCGAGGCGACCACCGCCGCCGGAATAATTGGACGCAACAGGACTTCACACCAGAAACGGGCCGACCGCGGTGACCAGGCGTTCGCCGGTATGCGGACGATCCCGACTTGAAACACCATCGCACTAAACGAGTCAGTGTTTGATGATGATCCTCTTTTTCAATTATAGTAAAAGGCAAATCCAAATATTGCAAAGTCGCAAGGCTGAGCCGTTTTCGTTTTACCTATAAAGTAAGTGAAGTAAAGTAACAGTGCATATATTTCCCTTCCCTGAGCAAAGGCCTCCTCTGTATAGATAAACGGTTTAGGGCATTGTCTTCCACGCGAGCCCACCGAGGTTTAGCAGAATTCACATATCTTTGAAATACTTTTATTTTGTTATTATTTCGAAAATATGCAGGTTTCCTCACGATGTTTTCCTTCACCGCTGAGCACGTGATAAGTGAACACTTAAAATTAATAGTTACATTGGTGCCGGCATAGGGATTTGAACTCTCGCCTCTCGGGTATATTGAATTAAAATCGAGAGCCCAGACACTGAACATTTACATATATAATGAAACATATCCAGCTTAGGTACTTTGTCATAAATGTGCAGCTTATAACACGTTTATAACACTCACTGTATCAAACGTTCACGAGTCAATTTTATTGATCTACGATTTTAGATCGGTCGGATTGGCAACGAATTACCAGATCTTCTATACAAAAAATTGTCCAAGGCATTCCGGTGAAGCGCGGTCACCCTACCATGTCCGAAAACCACTCGCTCGGACGCAAGTGAAACCAAACGGGCGGGAGAGGGACGGAAGGCGTCGTGTAAACGTGGCGGTGCCCAATAAATTGTATTAAAGCACTTTGACGTCTCGAATCGTGAATTCAAATCAATGTTATATATGATACGGGAATGGAATTTTGGGACGCCTCCGAAACCGGTACACTTTATCAGATCGTTATCCTTGTGGCTGCGTGAACGCGCGACGTTTGTAATCAAGTGAGAGAGTAAGCAACATATCTTTATAGAGTGATGTATTAGTAAAATAAATGTAAAATATAATGGGTGTCCTAAAGTTCCCGTTTCTGACGGGAAATTGATGTCCCTGCTGTGAGGACTCTTCATTGGGAACACAACGGGAAATTTGGTTCCGAAATAGAAGAGAAAAATTTTGCAAGTCTAGATGTCAAGTTAGTAAAAGCTGTAAAAATGGCATGTCATAAAAGTAAAGTAAATTAACAGCGTGTATATTCCCACTGCTAGGCTAAGGCCACATTTATACTGCGGTTTATTAGATCATAGTCCACTACACGACCCCACTGCGTATTGTGAGACTTCACATATCTTCGACATATTTTTTTTGTTATTGTTATTGGTGTCATAATTTTTTTTTTTATAAAAAATCTGTTGGTACCTCACAAACATCAAAGCATCCCAGATCGCACTGAAGGAACATCCAAAGTGAAAAAAAAAAAACTAACCAAGAGAAGTTTGGAACTGCTTTCGCAGAATCGATACGCAAGACACATTTATCAAAAATGTGTATTTTTAAATAAATTATCGCTAATACTCCGTGATGTATCCCTGCTGTGAATTTGTAAATGGAATAATAAAAGATTATGACTACATAGTATAAAACAAAGTCGTCCCGCTGTCTGTCTGTCCCTATGTATGCTTAGATCTTTAAAACTGCGCAACGGATCTTGATGCGTTTTTTTTATTAGATAGAGTGATGAAAGAGGAAGGTTTATATTTATAATATATTGCACCCGCGTGAAGCCGGGGCGGGTCGCTAGTACGTTATAAGCGATGACTCGGTAGACATTGTTGTTAAGCGATAGCCATAGGTTCCAACGCGAAACAGATATTTTTGTATGACCTACAGATATTTTTTTCGGATGTTTTTGTTTTTCTTATATTTGTAAAAAGTAGGATCAGCTTATCCTATAGTAAGGCCAATATTTAAAAGAGTTTGAACAAAGAATACGTGTATTAAATGCGTGAATCACTTCGCAATTAAGTTCAAACGATCGTTAATTTATCTATTTTACCTTTATGGCAATTATACGTAACTCTACAGATAGCGTTTGCCATAGCCATATGACAAAACGTATATGGAGACTGCTTATCAAATACAAGGTGTATAGAATAAATTAGCGTATAAAACGGACTGTGGTGTATGATTCAGCAGGTTCTTAGAATGAGCCAAAGTTTTTGGGATGTAATATGTAATAATTCTAAATAAGAAAATAGTGCTTTTTCGGTACCTACTCTCCGTACTTGGGTTTGAAAAATCACCGTCAAGCGATTAGTTGACAGCTTTTCAGTTTTTTTTTTTATAATAATTTAAAGTTTGGCGAATAGCTAACCTTTAACAGATGTTCCCTTCAAATTCATATGCAGCATTACCCGCGGTGTACGTGTTAACGTTATCAAACAGAACCGTTTTGCACGATTCAATTAACCCATGCCTTGTTACCTTCTTGATCCTTGAGGCCCGGATAAAATGTTGCACTTATTAAACCCAACCGTTTTAAGTAAACAAATGTTGGACCTAATTCATCTTAGTTTACACTATGAACATTGCTCCTGGTGATAGGAAAAGTACGAAGTGCAGAATAAACAATATGGATAGATGGATGCAAGTGGTTCAGAGTAGTGCTTCGTGGCGGTCTGTGAGGCATTCGTTAAGCAGTAGACTCAAACAGGCTGGAATGATGATGAGATCGAACCCACACCCTCTAGCGGAAGAGGCGTGTTCACTACCCACTAGATCTAGTATAGTGGATATAGCTAAGTTGATGAGGCACTGATTGAAATGTTACACAATAATAACTTAACTTAAGCTATCCGCAATCCACGAACGGACGCAAACTCAAGATATTGGCTTCGGCGTCGTGGGTTCGATTCCCACACGGGACAACTATTTGTGTGACCTACAGATAGTTAGTTTGGCCTCTGGGTGTTTTCCCGCGTGAAATTTATGTTTGTAAAACGTCCTTAAAACACGGGACAAAGTTATCCTAAAGTAAGGGCAATGTTTTTAAAAAAACGGTAAAAAGAAAGAAGATAAAAGATGAAAACCATAGACCGCCGAAAATCGGGACCTGCCGATCCAACTGAGGACCACATAAAGCATATCGCCTATAAAACGTCAATACGATCAAGACCGACGCCAAACCACAAACGATCATCGACATTAAAACGCAATCAACCATACAAATTAGGCGCGTATTAGCGGGGAGGTCGTCGACCCGACGCGACGTCGCGGAATCTCGCCGCGTCCGTGTATTTCCGTCGCCAGCGGATGCCCATAGGTCTCAGCGGCACTAAATCCGTCCTATAAATAGTACCGGGACGTTTTCGCCTCAGCGACCGGGACGAGCGTGAACCTTCGCCGACTTTCACTACTGTGGTAGTAACTGTGCCACGCAAAAAACGTCGCTGTTGCACGAGCGAGCAGGTCCGTTGGGGTAAGTCCTCGACCTCATAGGAAACCGACGAAGTGGAAGTGTAACACTTCTGCGTCCGCCTGGTGAAGATAGCCGAAGACCACTTGATTATAAGGTTCCAACACATCTGTAACCCTAAGGCTGTTGCAAATCTCCAATGGGCGGCGGTCATCACTTAACATCAGGTGAACCACCAGCTCGCCTGCCACCTTCTGACATAAAAAAAAAATAAATAAACTCGAAAGGGGGCCCGTTTACGAGTCCAACGATTAAGCTCATTCAGCGAACTGCCGATTCGACCGAACCAACAAGAGCCCCGACAGCAGGGGAACTTGTCGCCTCCAAAGCGGCCGATACGTCAGCCGGAGGTCAAGTGAAATTGGACATCTCCCCCGGGACCCGGGGACTACAATGTAGATTTTAACGTCTAACGGGAACGAGAGACAGCATTCGGAAATAATATTATCATTACAAAGTTGGGCTTCAGAGAAGCCGCTATTTTACGCTTCGTAGAACTAAACGGAGTTCTAGCTTTGAAGTCGTATATTAAATAAATAAATAAACGCATACATACTGCGATAGAATAAACAAAATGAAATTAATAATAAACAAGAGTTGATACCGAATGCGGCCGACAATGCGGCGCCGAGTGCAGTATTTAAAACAACAACTAGAGACAGTTAAAAAAAGAGTAATGCATAAAACAAAATGACTTATATCGTTAAGTTGCCTGGAGGTAGTTACAATCTACTCTCCGATACCTTCTCAATGTTTAGAAATAATCGAAGATTTTTTTACAGTTAATAGACTAACTTTGCAATTGACATAATAATAAAAAAAAACAATTCATAAGAGTAAGAGGCAGCACCGAGTAAAAATTGACAATAAATCAAGAGTTTTAAAACAAAGTCATATCTTCTAGTTCACCCCAATGTTCAACATGATATTATATCTGGCTTACCAGTCACTATAAATCATTTACCAGAATTAGTGGTCGGCCAGTGGTCGAAATTCGACCATAATTAATTAGACGGTAGTGTGTGTAATGTTTTTTATTGATAAAATTTATTTTTTATGTATAACTTTTAAAAAATATTAGCACTCTGCACTCCTTCTCTATATAAACTACAAGTGTGGGAAACTTCATACTCTTCCTTCCACGCAATTTTTGTAAAAGAGTTTGTTAACATTTTTAAGTTTACCTATGTTAACAAACTATACCTACTTTTATCCATACTATCCTTACTAATATTACAAAGGCGAAAGTTTGTATGTATGGATGAATGTTTGTTACTGTTTCACACAAATACTACTGAATCGATTTTAATGAAACTTTATAATAATATAGTTTATATATCAGAATAAAACATAGGCTACAATTTATGTACATATTTTTATGTATATAAATTGTCTTTCTGTCTGAATGTTACGCCTTCAGTATATTCTACGCAGACGTAGTCGCGGGCAGCAGCTAGTATATAGATGTTTGAAATGATGAGTGATAAATGGCGTGTTAAACGTCACAAATGCCATGTAGTATTACGCAAATTCGACACGCCCCGATTGCACGTATCCAAGACGTGGGAAAACACTAAATTGTGTACTATCTAAATCAGGTAGGGCCACGAGCTGAGCTTAAATGGGGAAAAAAGAGGCGCGAGT